TTTAAATGCCCCCGTTTTGATTACGGGTTTTTCTTCTGAAAAGCAGATCATGAATCTATGAAATTAAAGCCGACTTTTCTATTACTGTCTGTCTGTTCCTTCGCTAGCTGGAGACTGAACGTAACACCTTCCTGCATTTAAAGCAGGCTGGCTGGGCTAAGCCGCTAAAGCCAGCCGGAACTCAAGCAGAACTGGGCCCGGATGACTTCGCGGGCTCTGATACGGAGAACCAAAGTAGGGATTTAGGGACCCCCCTCCTCTGTGTAAACAGTGCAATAAGACCATCTGGGGGCACAGAGGGAGGTGGAAGGGTGCCTTCTCTACTAGAAGGAATTAGGAGCGAGGAAAAAAAAGCTACACCTTGATAGACTCCACCTTTGGCAGGTGCTCTTTGGAACGGGGGAAAAGATAAAAAAAAAATTAAAGACTTTGCCATTTGTCTTTTTGTCGTTCTTCTCTGAATCCGGCGTCCAGGCCACCCCACACCTCAAAATGCAGAAGAGGTGAGACGAGAGGAGGAAAAGTTAGCGGAGAACACCCCCACCCATCGTTCCCAGCAGTTCAGCGATAAATCTCTTACAGGGAGTATCTTGGCCTTGCTCCCGTTTCAGCCGATGATGATGCGATTAAGGCAGCCCAGTGCAAAATCCCCCAGTCGCTTCTCTGGCATCTAATTACCTCCCTGTCTTTGTGTGTGCACAGGCTGGTGTGTGTGTCTCTGTGTGTGTGTGTGTGTCGCACGCACACCCAAAGATACATTTGATAAGTACCAAGGGGCAACGCCGGCTCCCAGCAACCCAAACTGGGAGCCTGTGGTTTAATTTCCCCACCTGATGCTTCACTCAGAATTTTATTTTATTTTTCACACACACCCCCTTTCTACTCCTTCTAATGGGGAGGGAGCCTGGCAACCTCCAGCAGTCTCCATTTCAGGATTGACTACTCCGACTACTCCAGAGAGAGAAGAGATGTGCCTGTGATCATTTTTCCGCACTTGCCGTGTTTCGGTTTCGTGCGGATGCTCACACACACGCACACGCAGGCATTCTCCTCTTCTCGGCTGTTTGTAGTCGCTTCCAAATAACCCTCTTTTTTTTCCTCCCCCCTCCATCCTCCCCTCCCCTTTTTTTCCCCATTTGCCATTTTATTGATTCCTCTGCTTTGATCGTCAATGGACCTTGAAATTAAGACAGGCTCCCCCCTCCTCCCTTCCTCCCTCTGCCCCCCCCTCACCCTTCACTTTCTTGTTTGCTGAAGGAATAGCTTGTCAATACAAATCTGGAGCAGCCGACATAAATCTGATCAGCTCCCTTGCTTGCTGGACTGTAATTTGGTTCCTATTTCCCCCCAAAGAATCATAGGGCTGGGAAGAGACCTCAGAGGTCTTCTAGTCCAACCCCCCCCCTGCCCTTATTCCAATGGGTGTCCAATCTTTTCTTGAAAGCCTCCGGGCGATGGAGCAATTCAGGGGAGGGAAGCTGTTCCGCTGATTGAGACGGAGGCGGTATCATATGGAAGTGCCAGATTTTATTTTATTTTTTTAAAAAAGAGGAGCGAAATAAGAAGATAAAGAGAAAGGAAGCGTGGCTGGGAAAGAAGAAAAATGTCAGTCACGATGGGACTCGCTCTTGGTTTGAAGAATTCCTGTACACCGTTTTTAGCGCATCCAAAACACGAGCCAGGTGCAGCGAGCAAACTGTGCTGGTGGGCTGTGACTTCATCGATTTAAAATAAATTAAAAAATCAGAGACGAGCCTTCACAATCCTTAAAAGAATTTGTGTATTTTCCTCTCTCTGGATTAAAGAAATCTTGATCTATAAATCCTGTTCCCCCTCTTCACGTTTCCAGGTTCTGGTAGATATTTTTATCACACACAGACAGGTGGAATAACACCAAGTGTCATGGAAGCACAGAGCTAAACGACACACATTCTGTACAGGTATTTCTCGACTTAATAATCCCAACTGGGCCCAAAATTTCTTTTGCTAAGCCAGACAGTGGACGGAAGGCTGAGTTGACCCTGAGCTGGTGAGAATAAAGAAGGACGAGGGGGGACATGATAGCAGCCTTCCAATATCTCAGGGGCTGCCCCAAAGAAGAGGGAGTCAAGCTATTTTCCAAGGCGCCTGAAGGCAGGACAAGAAGCAACGGATGGAAACTCATCAAGGAGAGAAGCAACCTAGAACTAAGGAGAAACTTCCTGACAGTTAGAACAATTAACCAGTGGAACAACCTGCCTCCAGAAGCGGTGAATGCTCCAACACTGGAAGTTTTCAAGAAGAGACTGGACAGCCATTTGTCTGAAATGGTATAGGGTTTCCTGCCTAAGCAGGGGGTTGGACTAGATGACCTCCAAGGTCCCTTCCAACTTTACTATTATTATCATTATCCTCTCAGCAACTTTAAGCTGAGGCCTTGTTCCGTACCAGGATGAAATAAGGATGCTTCTTGTAGTAGGAAACTGCCAAACAGGCTTAAGTTCAGAGCTTCTGCTAACATCTGGAGGGAATTTAAGAACTCCCTTCTCACGGGGACTCCTGCTAACATCTGGCGAAGAGCACGGCAAAGTCCACAGTTAGACCGCTAACATCTGGACAACACTTTGCTGGATTTACCCTGGAGGTCTTCTTCCCAACAGCGAGAAAAAGAAACGGGATGGTAGCTTAACACCTGGAAAGGCATCAGGGCATTTCTCTCCAACATCTGGAGTCAAAAACTCTCCCAGTGGCGGAATCCGATCGGATTTCGGCCGACGCAACTTCATTCCAGGAAAAAAGAGTCGGTGAGACTGCCCGGCGTTTTTATAAACTTGACTTAAAGCTGCGGCTTTCAATTAAAAACGCGCGCACGGCTACTCAACCCCAATCTGATCTCTTGAAAAAGGGGCTGCTGGTTATCCTCTGTTTTCGTAATGACTTCTTTCGCAGGTGCCGGGTGCGATCTGACCTCCCGCTCTCCGGAGATGCGGAGCGACTGGAGGATGGAAGGTGAGAAGTAATTTCCGCATCGCACCTCCATCCGCGCTCTCTGCCCCACAGGTAAGGCGGAGACAATGAGAAAATGAAGCTGAATTCGTTCTGCTATTAGCCCAAGGAAGGCATCAAGAAATCAAAGCTTATTATCTCAGCTGAGATTCTGAAGGGCCTTCCCTAAATGGGGGCCTGGACTAACTCCCTCGAACCCAGCTCCAGAAGGGGGGGGGATGTAGGTCCAAATCCATCGAGTTGAGAGTGTCTATAATAATAATAATAATAATAATGATGATGATGATGATGATGATGATGATGATGATGATGATGATGATGATGATGATGATGGTGGTGGTGGTGGTGGTGGTGCTTTGGAGAATAGCTTGACCCCTTCTTCTTTGTGGCAGCCCCTCAAATATTGGAACACTGCTATCGTGTCTTTGTAGTCATTTTAATTAATACTGCGAATCTTTTAAAAAGTGGAATTCTGATTTTAAAAGGAAGGAAGGAAGGAAGGAAGGAAGGAAGGAAGGAAGGAAGGAAGGGAATACAGAATAACAAGACTTGGAAGGGACCTTGGAGGTCATCTAGTCCAATCCCCTGCTAAGGCAAGAAACCCTATACCATTTCAGACAAATGGCTGTCCAGTCTCTTCTTAAAAACTTCTTAAAAACGTCTCGTTCCAGACACCCAGACGTCTCACACCACTGCAATAAATATACAGTGGTGACCATTTGAAGTTTCAACAGCACTGGAAAAAAGCAACTTAAGTTTTTCACGCTGATGACTGTCGCAACACCCCCCCAGGGTCACGTGATAAAAATTCAGCCGCTTGGCAGCTGTCTCGTATTTGTGACGTTTGTGACAACCTAAAGATTCGAGGCTGATGACTCGCCTAACTCCTCCACCACCTCCCACTCTTGCCTGCTCTTCTCCTACACTGAATAGGGGAGAGGAAACGAGTTCTAACCCACCCCCCTTCCAACATTTTTCCACCCGGGCGGCAAACAGAGATACTCACGGGTACAGCCACTCTTGCGGTCCGTGACGATGCCGCGGAAGTTCCAGAAACCGGGTTCACAGCGGTCACATTTCAGCCCCCCCACGCCAGGTTTGCAGGAGCATTGGCCTGTGGTGGGGTCACAGCTCCCTCCGTAGGAGCCGTAGGGGTTGCAGTGGCAAGTGCCTATGAGACAGGAGGAAGGGAAAGGGTTAGCGCTCAACGTCGGCTTGGCAGAAGAGCCCACGGCCCCTTGGACAGGCTTCGTAACCGAGGCAGAGAAGCATCTTCAAAGGAGAGCGACGTAGAACAGAGAATCCTAGGGCTGGAAGGGAACTTGAAGGTCTACTGGTCTGACCCAAAGGCACCTGGGCTTCCTTTGTTTTTCCTTGAAGATGTTTCGCTTCTCATCCCAGAAGCTTCTTCGGTTCTGACTGAACGGTGGGGAATGGAAGGATTTATATTCCTTGCAGTCATCTGATTGTTAGCGCTCCCTCTGAGAGTCGTTGGAGGTTTATCTGTGCCCTCAGAGTCACCCAGATAATGCAAATGGGTGTGGAATCTCCTTGGAACTGCCGAAAGGACCGTGTCGTAGACAGGAGATATGTGGTTTCGTATCCCTCCCCCTCTGTTGAGAGAGGGCTGTTCAGTTTTAAAGGAGATGGCCTCTTGGACCATGACCTGGATGACTGAAGATCTCAACAGACATTCTTCTAGTCCAGGGGTAGGCAACCTTGGCTCTTTTATGACTCGTGGACTTCAACTCCCAGAATTCCTGAGCCAGCATGGCTCAGCTTGGAAACCTCTCCCTTTCCCCTCTGCATGGCTGGCTCAGGAATTCTGGGAGTTGAAGTCCACAAGTCATGAAGGGGCCATAGTTCCCCATGCTGGCTGAGGACTTCTGGGAGTTGAAGTCCACCAGTCATAAAAGAGCTGAGGTTGCCTACCCCTGGTCTAGTCTAACCCCCTGCTCAAGGCAGACTATATAGCATCGCGGCCAAACAGTTGACCAGTCTATGTTTGAAAACCGCCAATGGTGGAACACCCACAAGCTATTCCATGGATTAATTGGACAGCAAGCCCGGTGATTACTCTGCCCGTCAACAACATAGCTCAGGCTTCTAGTTCTCATTATTATGTGGTAGAAGAGATGCTTAATTTCAGTTGGGTGATGTGACTGGTTCCAACACAGCCCAAAGGGGAATTCTGGAAACTTCCCAGAATAATTTCTGAGGTGGTGGTGGTGGTGGTGATATCTAGGGCGGCCTGTGTCAAGCACACAACCAGAATTTAGCTTGAATTTCAGAATTTCCACGGACGGGAGTCGGGCACCCTCCCATCTGAACTGAAGAGACAAACCGCCACGGGACTCAAAATAAAGTAATTGCCCGAGGCCAGGTTGGGAAGGGTTAGGGTCTTCAGGCTGCTCCCAAGCAGACGTGAGATTATGATTTCCAGCTGAGCTTCTGGGCGACTTCACGGCATCAATTATCAAGGCGACCCCAGGAGGAGAATCTGCCATTTCTGTGGATTCTGCCGCTCTCTGGGTCAACAACTCTGGAGCCATTAAAATCGCTTTTGGAAGGCGGCCGTTGCTGCATAAATGACCCGGTGCACGAAATGCCTCTACCGAACCGCAAACAAGGCCGCCGCATTCCCGCCGGCCGCTCTAATGGATGCCCGCTAACCAGCTGGCCCTCGGCCTCAGCTGCTTAAAATGCCACCAACTCTTTCCTCGTCTCGTTAGGCGAACAAGATGGCTCCGGCTAATTATTCCATAAAAATTTAATAAAGTCTGCATGGGTGGGCTGGAAGGCGGTGGGGGAGGCCAGGGGAAAGGCAGAACAGATTGAGGTAGAGGAGCGTGCTCTGTCCCCGGGCCCTGAAGAGTGCCAGGGAAGACCCCCCCCTGCCCCTCCACCCTGAGCTCAACGTGAAAAGCCTTGTTTCCAGGCCCCAAAGAATGGCATCTACTTACTGGGGCATCCAGCCGATCCCACTCCGAGTGCCAACGTCACGTTGTCTGGGCAGCAGCCATAAACCGTTCTGCTACAGTGAAGGAGCTCTGGCGAAGACGGCGGAAGAGTGGGGACCCCTGGAAAGAAAATTAAAAAATCTCGTTTTAATGACGACGCCACCAGCAAGTAGCTGGTTGTGTTGTTCGGTTGCGGTTTCCAACTCTTCACAACCCCACGGACCACAGCACGCCAGCCCCCCTCCACCCCTCCTGTCTTCTACTATCTCTCTGCATCCGCCCAATCTCATATCCACGGAACCCATCTATCCATCTCCTTTTGCTTTCCATCTTTCCCCCCCAAAAATCAGGATCTTCTCTTCTCATCTGGCGGCCAAAGTATCTGAGCTTCAGCTTCAGGATCTAATCCTCCCAAAGAATAGTCTGGGTTGATTTCCTTCCTTCGAGGTAGGCCGGGCCGAGAAGCAGACCCTGCAGTGTTGGCAAAAATGCCGGCTTCGGGATGTAGGATGTCAGGAAAGACCTCTCCAAAATCTTTGGTTTCTACTAGCCCGGGTGCTGAAATTACCTCGGCAGGGTCCCTGGCTTGCCACGTAAATGTCCTGGCGTTTCTCGCAGCGGGATTTTTTCAGTTCACACTCGTTAGCGTAAGCTGCCCCATCTGACCCGCACACCTACGTTGGGGGAAAAGCAGAGGGTCTTGTTACAGAAAGAATTGGGATGTCGGAGCTCGGACCCCCCAAGTAGAAACAGGCTCCATTTGTTTAGCTTTATTAGAAGTCAAGCACACTGTGGTAAGTTAAAGTCAGAAGTCTTTACTCTTGCTTTTCTCTTTACTGTTTTTTTACCTATTCTTTAAGAAATGCAAAAGTGTTGAGGTGGTTTATATGGTAAAAATGGGATTTCAATCTTTAAACGTCATTAACTGTTGAGAAAAATCTTCACCAGCAAGAATACTTTTGAACTTTACGGGAGAAACAAATCTAAATAAGGACTGTAGCAGGATATAAGATGAGGCAACCAGAATGATGATAATGATGATGATAATAATTATAATTATAATAACCTAGAACTAAGGAGAAACTTCCTGACAGTGAGAACAATTAACCAGTGGAACAACCTGCCTCCAGAAGCGGTGAATGCTCCAACACTGGAAGTTTTTAAGAAGAGACTGGACAGCCATTTGTCTGAAATGGTATAGGGTTTCCTGCCTGAGCAAGGGGTTGGACTAGATGACCTCCAAGGTCCCTTCCAACTACTACTACTACTACTACTACTACTACTTCTTCTTCTTCTTCTTCTTCTTCTTCTTCTTCTTCTTCTTCTTCTTCTTCTTCTTCTTCTTCTTCTTCTTCTTCTTCTTCTTCTTCTTCTTCTTCTTCTTCTTCTTCTTGTATTATTATAATATTATTACTACTACTACTACTACTATTACTACTACTACTTTCCCTCTTCCCAGCAGCTCCCTCCCCCCCCCTAGCAGGCTGACATTTAGCAAAGCAAGGCTGAAGCTCAGGATGGCAGTCCTGACACAGAGCCTTTGAGGGTCAGTGCCTCGCTTGGGAGCAGGCCTACTCATGGTTCGGAGCCTCAGTGTAAACCCTCAGGACCACCAGCCGAGCCTTCGGTGTAGCTCTTGTGCAGTTCTACCCCAAGGGAGCATCTGGGCTGTACCGTTTTACGTACTTAAGAGGTTGAGAGCCACCCAAGCTGGCGCCTTCAAGGCTCTTTTTGGGAGAAAAATTATTCTCGCAGATTCGAGGTGCAGATTTAGGCTAAGCCTGGCAAGTAAGTAAATAAGCAGGTTGGACGGATTCCTAGATCATTCTGCCTGTGTGATCTCTTGGCATCACAAGAGGGGGAAAAAAAAAAAGAAGAAGAAGAAAGCTTCATTCTAATCTCCCCGGTTCGGAGAACACATCTGCTGGCATCCAGGATGTCATACACGCAAGGAGTTCCTGCGCTTTCCACTTTGCCCGTCCATAAAATATGCAAATGCATGCCAGGGAAATTAATGAGAAACAGGAAAAAAAACCAAAAACAACAACCCAGAGGGCAGAGAAGCATTAAAGACACAACAGAGGATTTGACTCAGCCCTCTCTGCAAAAGCCTGCCACAGAATATCAGGAGGTGTTCAGGAAAGCATCAAGACCAACCGTAAAACTTGGTGGACTTCAAAACCCCCAGAATTCCCCAGCCGTCCATGCCTCCTGGAGGAATTCTGGGAGTTGAAGTCAAGGGTCTTAAAGTTGCCCACTTGAACACCTCTGCCGCAGGCCAGCCCTTTGCTCTGTGCAGAAAATCAGACTATCTAAATCAGTGTTTCCCAACCTTGACAATTTTAAGGGATGTGGACGTCAACTCCCAGAATTCCACAGCCAGCAATGCTGGCTGTGGAATTCTGGGAGTTGAAGTCCACATCCCTTAAAATTGTCAAGGTTGAGAAACACTGATCTAAATTATGCGGCCGCTCCTAGAGATATCTCCTCTTACCACGTTCTGCGGGACGGTCCTACAGGTGTAGTCGCAAACGCAACGGTCATCTTCCATATCCTCGTCCCACGAGCCCCCGTACTTCCGGCAGCTGTCTCGCTCACATTCAACGGCATCTCCGTAGCCAGACCCACCTCCTGAACCGCACTCTGCGTGAGAGAAGAACAGCCCACTTCAGGCGGGAAACGAAGTCAAGTTTCTAGACCTGATTATCGACATTTTTTGGGGGGGGGGCTCTCTGACTTGGATCCGATTCCTGGCAGCCGCAGAGATGCGTCTCAGTAGAGGCACCCACACAAACCGTGAGATTTTACAGAATCTTGAGGCTAGAGAGAAGGCCTTCTGTGGAGGAAATGGCCTTTCTTCTCCTTCTATCTCAGCGTGATCTCTCCCGGGTGGATTTCTGGATGATCCTGTGGGCAGAAACGTGGCCTTTTTCTGGCCTGGCCTGTTGGTCTAGCAACATCTCTGGGATTTTGTGGTGGTTTCATCCGGGTATTAACCCATATGGAAGGGAGAAGGAAGGAAATGGAGGGAGGGAGGGAGGGAGGGGAGGGAGAGAAGAAAGACAAAAAGAGGGAAGGAGAGAAAAAAAGGAAGGAGAAGAAAGAATGAATAAGAGGGAAAAGGAAGGGAGGAAATAAGGATAGAAGGAAAGGAAGGAAAGAAGGAAGAAAGGAGAAAGAGAGGGAAGGAAGGAAAGAAGGAGGGAAGGCGGAAGGGAAGAGAGAGGAAAGGAAGGAGGAAAAGACAGAAGAGAAGAAAGATGGAAGGAAGGAGAGAAGGGAGGAAATAAGGAGAGAAGGAAAGAAGAAAGGAAGGAGGGAGGGAGGGAGAGAGAGAGAAGGAAACAAAGAAAGAGAGCCTTGCAAGCATCCCTTTCTCTCACCTCCCTCAATGCTCTGAAGTGTGAAATTAAAGCACTGAAATCACTCCTGGTGGAGCCCTATTACTGCCCATCACCTTTCATTATTGGCAGCTCAAGAGACAATGGGAGGGAAGGAAGGAAGGAAGGGAGGGAGGGAGGGAGGGAGGGAAGGAAGGAAGGAAGGAAGGAAGGTCCCTAAACGAATGGATCTAAGTCGAGGATCCCAGCTGAGCACGGAAGACTCACCATCTTCGCACGGACCCCTCTTCACCTGGAGGTCAAGAAGGAAGACGACCGTTCTGCGGTCCGCGTCGAGCGTCCGCAACAGCATTCACTCCGGCAACGACGGTGTCTGCGCCCTGTTCCCGACGACGAGCGTTGCCCCCGTCTCCGTGACGGGCAGGTGTGTGAAACGGGGTTTCCTCGTCTGACACCGGGGTGTCCGAAGACGTCTCTCCCCCTCTCTCTCTCGAGGAAGAGAAGCCCATGAAGGAAACCAGTCAAGGAGAGAAGCAACCTGGAACTAAGGAGAAACTTCCTGACAGTTAGAACAATTAACCAGTGGAACTCCTTGCCTCCAGAAGCGGTGAATGCTCCAACACTGGAAGTTTTTAAGAAGAGACTGGACAGCCATCTGTCCGAAATGGTATAGGGCTTCCTGCCTGAGCAGGGGGTTGGACTCGATGATCTCCAAGGTCCCTTCCAACTTTATTATTATTATTATTAGTAGTATTAAGGGATTTCAGGAGAGTATTTGTAACCCAGGGTTGAACTGTGGGGTCCTTGGTGCTCTCTGAGCTTGGCAGTCTTCTTGCAGACGTTTCATGACCCAACTAGGTAACCTCATCAGTGCTAGAAGGGAGTGGGGTTTGCAGAATGGAGGAGGAGGAAGAGGATTATGGGGTCCTTGGTGCTCTCTGAGCTGGGTGGCTTTCTTGCAGACGTTTCATGACCCAACTAGGTAACCTCATCAGTGCTAGAAGGGAGTATGGTTTGGGAAGGGGAGGAGGAGGAGGAGAAGAAGGTGGACAACTGTGGGGTCCTTGGTGCTCTCTGAGCTTGGTGGTTTTCCTGCAGACGTTTCATTACCAAACTAGGCAACCTCATCAGTTACATTACAAGAGTGTACTAATGTACACTAACGTGGCCTGCCCTGATGAGGTTACCTCGTTGGGCAATGAGACGTCTGCAAGAAAACCACCAAGATCAGCCAGCACCAAGGATCCCACACACACACACACACAGTTACTTTAGCTTTTAAGCGGCTGGTTTGGAGGGGAAGCGGCTTCAAGGAGAGGGGAAGCGCACGTGCCAAGGGGTACGCCAAGGAGAGGGGTGGTGGGCATAGGCAGCCTAGATCTGGAAGGACCCTCCCAGAGGGGAGGGGAAAAAAGACACAGACTTACTGCAGCTGCCTTGGGCTGCCACCTCGATGGAGACCTGCTGGATGCAGGACTGAACGTGGAGCTCGCACTCGCTCCCGTAGGTGTTCCCGTCGGTTCCGCACACCAGCTGAGAGGAGGCGACGCACTCGGTGGGACACACGCACTGGCCCGTCTCGGCCTCGCAGATGGCACCAAACTGGCACTTCCGACAGCGGTCTGGAAATGGAAGGGGGAGAAATCTGGAAAAATGAGCATTTTAGCAAAATCCTTTTAAACTCTCCTTTTTTTCCCCCAAAGGAGGTTTAGGCTAGCATTTTCCCTCGGGATGGGCTGATTTCATGGATAGCCACAGGGCTGCAGGACGCCCTCACCAAGGAGAGGGATGATGGGCCTTGGAGTGCACCCTCTTCAGCCTGGATTTCGGGGGTCTCGTTCGGGAATAACGTTAGCAAGAGGAGGTAGGAATGTTGGAGTAACAGGAAGACCCCGGAGAGGCAGTTTGTTCTATCGGTGAAGGCACCGGACTTAAAACTGGGAGACCCTGAGTTCCAGTCCTGCCTTGAAAACCAGCTGGGTGACTTTGGGCCAGTCCCTCTCCCTCGGCCCAACCCATCTCACAGGGTTGTTAGTGTTGTTGTGGGAAAAAATAAGAGGAGGAAGAAGCTGCGCTGGGTATGTATGCTGTCTTGAGGCTTTTTTTTTTGTAAAATAATAATAATAATAATGAAAGTGGGATACGAATGAATAAATAAATAGAAGTGATGGCTTGAAATTCTGGGCAACTGATGCCAGTCGGTTTCAAGGTGTGGACAAGAGGTAGAGCCAGCAGTCGGCTCAGTCTCCTGAGTGAGATGATTGAATACAGCACCGGGGGGGGGGGAAACAAGGGTGAGTGGTGGGAGGAGGAGGAGGAGGAGGAGGAGAAGGAGAAGAAGAAGAAGAAGAAGAAGAAGAAG